AATCAATGTCACACACAGCGAAAACATCACATCATTAAATTTCTATTCTACTGCTAAAGCTTTACCTGACCTTCCTGGCATCACTGAAACTATTCTTTTTACCCTGGTAAGGTATCACATCTCAGATGCTTCTGGCATGCATGTTCGCAGCAGATCTTACTAGGCAATGCAATGAATGGCTTCGATACAAGCAGTGAGTGGCATATGGCACACCATAATGTATTCACATGTGTTGGACCAATTTAAATTGAATATATCTTCTTAAAATACAACAGCTAATGGTGCTAAGAGTTGGAAATCTGATAACTAAGCACTATCACCTTCAAGTCCTCTGAATTGCTGTCCTGTTAACTTGACATTATCGGTTTCAATGTTTTCGCATTTACCTAATGAGACTCCCAAAACGGATATAAGTCTTTCAGGTCACACTTTTCTCCCCGCTCTATTGCTAGATGTTCTTCTCATTAAGTCAGTAAATGATAAATGATTAAGTGATGATTAAGTCATGATAAATATCAAGAGAAGAAGCCATAGCTGTTAAGTGGATAAATATTTTTCCTAGAAGCATTCCCACTTCACATTTTCTTTGTAGCAGAAGCTAGAAAACTGTTTCTTTTATCTCCACCCCCAAATCTTAATTTTCAAGGTACACTTCATGCTATTTCATCTATGATATATACAAAGTACAGAAATCTCCCCCATACCAATTAGGTACAAATGCCTTTCTACTCACTAGAGCAGAATTTACAGATTATACTTTTGGACAAGTATTACTGTGACCGAATGAAATATTGACAAGTTATTTGCCCAGCTGCACAGTGCATTGCTCATACTCAGTTTAATTAATTTATTTTTTTAAAAGGGGCAGCTATGAGTCCCTGTGTGCCAGTCCACTGGAGTTACTTTGCACAACAGCATCTGGCTCAACCCTCAAACCATTGGAGCTGCCTCTGGCTCTCTCAGTTCATGACAGAGTAACTGACCACTTGAGACTTCTCAGTTCTAGCAGAGTTAGCATCCCTTCTTCCTCCTTCTAAGTATCACAAATAGACACCTTTTAAAACTGTTTGAGAAATTAAACATGATAATCTTGCAGTTTATTCCTTCAGACATGACCGTGTATTTTATACATCCCCATTCCTACGTTGGTGCCTTGGAATCATAGAATGCTTAAGGATGGAAGGGACCTCTAGAGGTCATCTAGTCCAACCCCCCTGCACACGCAGGGTCACCTAGAGCACGTGGCACAGGACTGCATCCAAGCGGGTTTTGAAGATCTCCAGAGAAGGAGATTCCACAACCTCTCTGGGCAGCCTGTTCCAGGGCTCTGTCACCCTCACTGTTAAGAAATTTTTCCTTAAGTTCCTATGGAATTTTGGATGTTTCAGTTTCCGGCCATTTCCTCTAGTCCTTTCTGTCAGTGGCCACCACTGAAAAGAGGCCAGCACCATCCTCCTCACTGCCTCCCTTGAGGTATTTGTTTACACTGATTAGATCCCCTCTCAGCCTTCTCTTCTCCAGGCTGAA